GCAATTTTGCCACCAGCAAGGCAGATTTCCCTTCTAAATTAGGTTTTTCAGGCCGGATAGTGGGCCCTTCCTCTTTCTCACACACAAAAGCAATAGCTACAAGCAAAAGAAAAAACAAAAAGGAGAATTCTCTCTGACATGATCAAACAGTAGCTTGACCCAGGGTGGGTCTGAGATAAATCTGTGCATTGCGGGAGAAATCTGTATTTCATCCCCTTGTCTTGCAGCAACACCACAGGATTGGAGGCTGGCACTAGGTGCCACAGCTGGGAAAGGGAAGGAAAGGAGGAAAACGCTGAAGGTCGAACGTGGGAAGATCGGACTTTTAGAGGTCAGTTCTGAGCTCTGACAGAGAGCTTGGTTCAGCCCGGTCCACCCCTCTCCCGCCTGCATCCTGGGCAAGCCCCACCCAGGAGAATGGGCACTGCRGTGGGCAGCGCAGCACTTCCTCCTGTGGCCCCAGTGCTGAAGTTTCCCCAGGCTGGCCTCCAGTGGGAATTCACAATCCCCCTCCTCCCTCCTATCCTCCAGCCGTGGGCCAGCCGCGGAACGCTGAGGCAGGAGCCCATCAACAGGTCTCCACGGCTGCACCGAGACGCGCACCAGCAACATCATCATGGCACCGGGAAGACTTTGTGCTCGCCATGCATCTGAAACATCCACCCTCAACCAGGAGCCCTGGGTTGGTGCCCCCTGCTCGTGCTCCCACCTAGCCACTTGGTGCAACATCCCTGAGAGCTTAAAGGAGACACTGTTGTCGCCGCCATCTCTCGCCCCCCCACCCCTTTTTTCTTGGCAGGTTGCCCTTCACAAATGCCCTTCCAGCACAGCATCATGATGGAGGTGGGGGATGCAGTATTCAAGGACACTCTTTGGGTGTCAGAGCCCCCTCTCCTGCCAAAACAGACTCCCAGCTTGGAAAAGGCCAAGAGTAACTAGCAGGCTGCGGTCCCAGCCGTGCTTGGTTGCTTATCCCTTTTCCTCGGGATGGACAGCAATGAAAAACGAGAGTGAGCAATCTTGGCACGGAGAGCAGGGCGGCAGGAGGAGGAAAGGGGAGTGAGTTTCATTTTTTTCTTAGTAAAATCAAAATATTCCAGCTGATGCAGTTTCCCCCGCCTGCCCCTGGCAGCATCATGTTCAGGATAGGGACCAGCTCCAGCTCCATGCAGCCAAAGCCAGTTTGCTGCCTCTACAGTGCTTCTGCCTCGTGATGCCTCCGACCTCCATGGTGGGGCTGGTGCCTCCCCGCTTGCCGCAAGGGCAGCCCCGAGCGGGTGAGCGCAGCACATTGCCCGCAACGGTGTCGGGGACAGAGAGCTGGGCCGCGGACACCAGCGCTTGTGTCACTTGCGCTTGTGTCCGTGTCTCCTCCAGCTCCTGACCTTGAAGGAGCAGCAGGAAAAGCCGGGAGGAGGAGGCAACAGTGTCTCTGCTGCTCTGCTGGCTCCCGTGCCCCCCGCTCACCCCGGGGCCCGGTGTGCTCGGAGGTGCAGCCCTTACCTTTGCTCCTCCGGCCCTGCGCCCAAGTGCTGCCTCAGGAGCCGGCTCTTCTGCAGAGAGGAGGGAGGCTCCAAGGCAGGAGGCGGAGGGAAGAAGTGGGGGGGGAAGGAAAAAAAGCAGCTTGGGAGTTTCCCACAATGCACCAGTCAGGGCTGCATGAAGTCGCTGAGCCGGGGAGGGGGACCGGGAGCGGCGCTCCAATCCGGAGAGAAGGGCCGGCTCCCAGGAAAGGGCAGCCCGCCAAGGAGGGGGGGCCGCCAGTGCTGCCGCTGCCCTGCACTCATCGCCAGAGTGTCCGGGCCATGCACGGCTGCCCCAACACCGTCCGGACAACACGGCACTGAACCTCCAGCCTGGCATCTGCTCCCTTTTCCCCGTCCATCTCGCGACACGTGCAGCTGCGGAACGGGGTGGGGGAGTTAGGATGGTGAGTGGGGAAGGGACCAGCCCGGTGCATTGCAGCGCTTCTGTGTGCAGACTAGGGAGAAGAAAAAGGAATCCCCTGGCTTGGGATTTCTGAGCACACAGACCCCCCGAGGAGCAGGGTGGCAATCTTGCCAAGGAGAGGCCCTGAGTGCTGGAGGGAGGAAGCAAAACTGCTGCGTAATGGGCTGCTTTGGTGCCAGCTCTGCTTCCCTCCTTGTCACTGCACTCCTTGGCCCAGCAAGGCTGGTGAGGGACTGCCAGGAGCTGCGGCTGCCTTATTGCCATGCGCGTGGCTGCTAGCACAGGCTGTGGCTCAGCTGTTCGTATAGCCGCCCCAGCAGGTTGCAGCACATGGGGCCCCCCGGCAACCTCACCAGTGCCCAGCGCTTGGCTCCTCTTGTGCTTCTACCCCGGATCCCTGCCCTGTACCCTGAAAGTGTTGCCAGGCACCGTTGCAGCTCCAAGCGTAAAGTGGGGGTGAGCAAGGGCACCTTGTTCTTCTTGGCCTCAGGAGGCCGTGCGGCTCCCTGGGGAATCTGCCATACACATAATTAGCTGTGGCTAATGCTAATGGCCTCTCTGCTGCTGCGGTCTGGCACCTCGCCTGGAGCCAGCAGCAGGAGCCCTCTTTGCCCTTCGCCGTTCCACGGGCTCGTGCCAGGCGCAGCCAACGTCATGCAAGGCTCATCCCTTTCCTAACAGGGCTCTGTCCCTTTTCTGATGCTTTCTGAACCTGCCCTTGAGAGCACAAGAGAGAAATTAAGCTCCTGCAGAGCTTGTGAAAACCTGTGGTTAAATATAGGTGAGACGCCCAAAACACTGGGCATGGGATTGTACAAGACTCTTAAGCCACTTTTACACGAGGCACAAGTGTCATTGGTATCTGCACCCTCCTTGCTGTGCAGAGCAGAGAGTTTCTGTGCAAGCAGAAATTGCAGACAGCAGTTCCACCAGTCTGGCAGAGCCAAGACCAGTGCTTTCCAGCTGCGATTGCCCTGTCTCTGCCTTCATCTTAGGACACCACCAGCTTCATATGGTGCATCCAAATGAATCAGGCTTCTCCCAGACTTGGAATCAACTATGACTTTTACTGAGGTTAAAAATATGTATATTAAAAGAAGAATCAAAAGAAAGAAGGCATGAAATCAAGGGTCCTGACTCCTGTTGAACACAGGAGAAGCCAGATGAGTGACACCAGAGCAACTCAGCATGCAGAAAGCCCCCCTGGCTCTGTCGGGAAGGGTCTCCCAGCTCGCTCCGTCTCCTGCAGTAAGTGGGTCATGTCATCCCCATCCTGGCGCAGACGAGAGCCGGATGCTGGCACCCGGCGCCTGACGGCAGGCATCGATTCGGCTCCAGACGCAGCAAGGTGAAAACAGCTTCTCCAAGGTCAGTC